TAGCAGTAGTTAATTACTGCTTCACTTGAATTTACAGCAAATAGAATATTCGACCATTTGGTGACCAGCTAGAGGGCTTAAATTTTGACTGGGGGAGTGTAAGCAGAAAGAATTAGCATTTTATCGTCAAATATACTAGTAATCTCCATTATCAGTCGAAATTTAAAACAAATTTGGGACTAGCTAGAGTGCTCAAATTTTAACAAAAGCTCTGTGCTTTTTATAGCAATACAAGTTTCAATTGGTCCCTGACGACTGAATTTATTGTCAATACAAATTTCGACCACTTTCTGAAATAAACAAACAGAGACAAAGCTTAGCGTTTTTCTTTTTTATTCTATTTGAAAAATTCTATTCTCTATCAACAATTGGCGATGCTCACGTCACGGTTGAGTACAATACTCTTTCATGAATGACCATACAATTTATGTCTCTTTAATTTTGCGGCTCTTCGCCATTCCTTCGGTTTTGTTTTCCTAACGATAAATAAAGAGATAAAGAAAACACTTATCCACAAAAGCATAATAAAGACTACTACCTATTTTTTTTAATGAAAATATTGTTTTTCATTTTTCTTTCAGGTAAAAATGATCAAATGCCGGTGTTATTTAAAATCATGTCCATTTTGAGAACATTTGATTTTTATAAAGTGGCAATAAAATATATAGTAAAAGAGTTTAAATTTTTTTAAAAAAATTTTTGTGAAAGAATATAGGTTGTGTCACGTAAAAGAATTGGTACTTGCGGGCTTGGCTTACTCTAAATAGAATAGAAAGAAAAGTTACTAACGTAAATAAATGCCACGTTTCAACAACCAATCAGGATCGAGATAGTCACACTACGTCACGTGCAGGTATCCCATTGGGTACTTGCAACTCGAGAAGAAGTGAAGTGATTATGTTTAACCATTTGCTTTGGATAATCGTAAAATATCACCATGCTAATACTGACGCCAATGATGGTTAATTAAGTTTAAGAATATGCACAAATTGAAATTAAAAAAACAAATAAGCTATTTTAGGACAAGCGCAAAAAATCGCTTTACAAATATTGAGGCCAATGATGCTTAATTAGTATGATAGTAATAGTTACTAATTGAAATAAAAAAATAAGCTATGAACTACTAAAAAAAAACAAATCTAATGGAGAATGATACTGATTTGCAAAAAAGTAGCGTTAAAAATCGCTAAACTATTAGTAACGCCGAAAGTTGCTTAATTATTTTTGATAATAGGTTTCAATGTAAAAAAAAAAGAAGCTATGTCTTAAAAAGCAAAATTAGCTGAGAGATAGTTCTAATTCATTCAGGAGTAACGAAAAAAAAAATGCCATACCATTTTTGACGCCAAAGATCCTTAGTTAATTTTAGTAATGGTTACTAATTAAAAATAAAATAAACTATGTAATATGAAGAAAAAATATTGGAACTAACCCGGATTGAAGAAACTTAAAAATTCGCCATACCTTTAATGACACCAGTAATGCTTAATTAACTTAGGTAATAAGCACTACTAGAATTATCGTAATTGGTGCAGCTGTGGACTCAGGTGATAAGAGCGATAGCCTCCCAATGAGGTGAATCGGGTTCAAATCCCAATGATGGCAGTTCGATACGAATTCTACACCCGCCTCCTACCGCCTAATGGAGCTAATAAAAAATATCTTCGATGGTGGCTGGGTTAGAGTCCCCTTGCTTTCAAGCTAACCGTGGAAGGTTTTTCTCCCCATATAACGGAAATTCGGATTTAGTTCCATCAAGTCTTCCACGAAAACAAATTTCTCCTAATACTTGATCCAGGAGTTTCCTTGTCTTCTGGATTGGGTTCAAAATTACAAGGTTACGAATTATTATTGGTAACCACAAACTCAAAAAATTGGGCCGACTGTTCAACAACGATTATAAAATAAAATCCCGGCGATGGCTTATACTGATCACAGTGCTGACGTAATATATTCTCAATAGTAGACGAATTATGGGTTAGAGTCCCCTTTTTCCTCTCTATGTAATGCAAATGCGAGTTAGTTCCATCAAAACATCCTTCAGGAAGGAAAATTTCTCCAAATGCTTGAATGAGGAGTCCTCTTGTCTTCTGGATAGGGGTCAAAATTACAATGATACGGAGTTGGAACATAGGTGGTAGTAAACTAAAAATTTCGGTCTGATGTTGATCGACGGTTATAAAATAAAATCTAATCACGCAAAACTACAGTGAAGAACATTATATAATGATAAATACAAATAATTTGGAATTATAGCTTCATTGGCTGGCTAAGTATATTTCTTTCAGCTCAGTGTATGATTTTGTAGTGCTGATCAGTACCAATTTATTGTTGTTTTTTTTTCTTCACATCATATGAAGAACGAGTATTCAGCTAGTTAGTATATAAATGGTAAATTCTAATTTAGATATTCCTTTTCTTTTACGTACGATTAGAGTTGAATATTGTTATTTTAATTCGAATCGCATTTCATTTATATTCTAACATATACATAATAATTAAAGAGCTAAATTAAAAAAATTATGTTTGTTCAAATTATAGAAATTGTGTTAACTACCGTAAAAAAAGAACCAGATATCAATATTTCAAACACGTGTACTCCTACATATAGCATTTTCAAAATATCATTCGTAATAATTTATATTATTACTATTTATATAGTCTTCTTTTGAGAAACCCACAGAATTATGGTAATTATGATAATTATGTTTAAGCAAAGAATATAAAGGTGCCTTAGACGTTAGGTAGCTCCAAGGAGCAAGGCACATCGACCAGAACTCTCTTGTACTCAAATTCTAGATCATGACTAGCGGAATAGCTTTATAGTTGAAACAAAGTTTGGCAAACACTTGAGAGAAATATCTTGTAGTTCTCAGGCCTTATTACAATATTGTCCCAGATGCTCAAATCTCTGAGCAGAATGCTGCCGTACAATTGAAAATTCAACATAAATGATAAAAATAAAAAATTGAAATTTTTATTTACTTGGCATTTTTGTATAGTAAGCTACATAATGCAAGAAATTTTTTTTAAAAAATAAATTTTATTTCATCAGTTTTTTGAAATTCTATTTTAATGTTCATAGCATTAGCAATAGAAGAAAAACAGCTGTCAAACCACTTTTTTTGAATCAATCGTGAAACAGTTTCAATTGCACGGCAGAATAGATCTCATACTCCGAAAGAATATGTCGTGAAGTCTCCTTATCAAAATGACGACCATAACAAAGAGAATCGGGTGTTATACCCATAACGTAGAGGTGTCTCCTGGGAGTGCAGTGACCAATGATCTTCCTCAAGCTATTCCTGTTAAGCTTAAGAAGTTCTTATTGAAGCACACCAGGACAGCCACGATTAAACTCCTTAGCCTGTATTTAACCGTCTGAGTTGCGTCAAAGCGATGACTTGAAGCATAGGGGAAAAATAAGTATTAAGTATAAGGTGCCTTACAGTTTCTTCTATATTCTTTGCCCTAAGGACTCGGTGCGCTTAAAATTAATCTTCTTAGCTCCCAGATTGCTATATAGTTCAAATAGAAAACAAAATCTTCAATGCGAAATTTTTTAAAAAATTAAATCTTAACTTTTATAACTCTTCGTCTTGGGCACTACAACCGATGAAGGCCGCCCCAATAAGTTTTTGCCATCTTGATTTATTCTGAGCCATGACCTTCAAGTAAGTTATTTCTATTATGTTTAGGTCCTTCTCAACTGCGTCCAGCCACCTAGTCTGCGGGCGACCCCTTTTTCTTGTACCTTCTGGTTTAAAAAAAGTGACTTTTTTTTGCAGAGTTTTGGTTTTCAGATCTATAAATTTATGAACATGTCTGGTTGTTCATATTTTATATATAATTCATGATTGTAAAGGGTGCGCCATTTGTTATTCATAATTATGAAAAGAATATTTTTTTGAGTATAACTGGCACTAGACAATCCTGAACTCTAGAAATTTGGGGCTCTGGGTAAATGGCCTTCTTACCACACCTTTAAGACAACTCTAATCACCCATGAAGTATTCATAGCAGCATAGTCTAAAAATTAAAATAAAAAGTAGTGAAGTTCTAGGAGTAATGCTGACAAAGGTTAGGAAGTAAAGTTCAAAGATAAAGGGCAGCATATGAGTAGGAAAAGCTAGAAGTAAGACAGTAAACTCTTCATCAACAGATAAGTGGATAAGCTCCATAATGAATATTTTAAAATCCTCGGCAAAATTCTATACAACATCAGAGGTAGTAAATGTGAGAAGAAAAAAAACTGTTATAAAAATCTATCAGTAATTATTAAGTTGGAATTAAAGATTTAAAAGTTTGTTTGATTACCAGCGTTAATAAGTGAAGGTGGCATTTTTGTAGTGATAAAACTGTAAAACTATTATGAATTGTTTTTATGAGTGTCTTCGAACACATCCTTTCATTTATCTAAATTTTCTTTATTTCATGTTTTCTAATAAAATTGCATTTAAATAAATATTAGATTTTTAATCGTAATTTAATGATTTGGCAGCTAATTTGATAAAGTGACTCACAAAAAAAAAAATTCATTTTTATAAATTAATGAGAGCAAACCAAGAATTCTTGCCATGTTTCAACAAATATTTATTTTTAGAAAGATTGTATTTAAATTTATAAGTCGTTAAAAAAAATCATAATGTTTAAAAAATTAAATTGCCACTTACATCAACTGCTATAAAAATAAATTTAAGTTAAAAATAAAGTGGTTTTTTACAGAATATTTTGTTCTGTATTACGGTTCAAAATCAGTAACAAGCAAAACTTGAACATGTTTCAGATGTTTTTTTCCTTCTTTTTTTAAAATATGTCTTTTCTTTTTCTATTTTTTTAAAAATAAGTCTAAACTTTTTCTGTTTGAGTATTCAAGCCACAGCTTTTGTATTGGTGTGTTATTCCTGTTTTTTGTACACAAACAGCAAAAATTGATAGAGAAATCTTTTTTTTTCCCTCACTCGATAAAAATGTTAGATTTTAATATTATTAAAATAGGATTCTTGAAAATACAATAAAATTTATTTACATGACATTTAATTCAGATTTTATACAAATCTTGGTTGAGAATATTTGTTTACATATGGTTTTACTCCCAATATTTCTAAACATTTCTGCAGAATATTTAATGTAGCAGAAAACAAAAGCAGACGTGCCTAAAAAAAAGAAAAGGTAAAGGTCAAATTTTAATCATCTAAATAATAAATATGTATAACAATAAAAAAAAATATGAGAAATATTTTTTTTTAGAAATAATGCATAGCTAACAATCAAGATCAATAATAATAAAAAAGAAGAAACAGAATAAAAATCTTATGAATCCAAAAAAAAAGGTAAAGGTCAAATTTTTAAAATCATCTAAACACTAAATATGTATAACAATAAAAACATATGAGAAATAACTTTTTATAAATGATGCATAACTAACAATCAAGATCAATAATAATAAAAAAGAAGAAACAGAATAAAAATCTTATTAATCCAAAAACTTATAAATATTTTAATAGCTAATTAATAAAAAATTAAGACACTTGTTTTTAATTTGAAAGCCATAACTTTTTTATACAGAAAATAACCTTGTATTATATAAATACATTTAATTAATAAGATGCTAGTAAAATTAAACTATGAAAATAACAAGTAGGTAATATTGAAAAAAAAAAACATACTGAAAAATATTTTTTACACATGAATAGTAAATATTTTAAAGTAATATAAGGACACACAACTTAAAAAATAAAAATAAATAAAAATATTACTTGATTGCAGAAAATAAAACTAGAAATAAAACTAGAACAATTAAGCAGATTAATTAATTCTTGGTAAAAAAAGGTTAAAAAAAGACTTGAAGTTTTAAGATAAAATCACAAGATTTCATATACAAATTAAATATTTTTATTACATTGCTACAGTATTGACAATTGTAAAACTTAGCCAGTGATATTTAGAAAATGCAAAAATCTTCGGATTAACAAAAATCTTATAAGACCTTTAGTATGAAAATTAATTTCTTCCTGCCTCCTGCTAACTAAGATGGTTTTCAATGAGAAAATAGGTTTTTCATGCAGCTTCTTGTTACGTTTTTTAAATTTGGTTCACTAAAATATCCTAGAATTTAGTTCCACTAAATTTTTTTAATTAATGTGAATAATTATTTCAAATTATCTTCATATATTGTTTTAAAAATGTTTAAACTTAAGTGAGCAAATAAAAGTACATAACAATATCAGAACAATGAACAAGCTATTAGCATTTGATATTTGCAACAAGAGTTAATGTTTTAAAGTATAACAATAAGACTTCAAATACTAGTAGTTACACTTTCATTGATTATAAGCAAGTACAGTTAAAGAACATATTTATAAACAATTATGAAGATAATTTGTTTCTAGAAAATGATGGATTTTACTTTTTAATCACTAAGAATTGATAAACCTACAATTTATTAGCAGCACAAATTTGAGTTTTGAAATTAAGTACAAATGCTATGGACAAAACTATGGAAAACACATCATTGATAGATTAATTCTTTTTTTTATGAATTATCACTTAAAAGCAATGAATTATCCCTTAAAATATTTTTTCAACCTATATAGAAGTGAATCCTGGACATAAATAAAAAAAGATCAGAAGAGTTTGTTAATCTAGAAGAGAGATGTAATGAGAAATTTTTTTTGATAACTGTGAATGATAGAGGAGTTGTAAGAGAAACAATTCAGATATGAAAAAAATATGGACACATTGATGTTGTCACTGATATAGAGATAAGGAAACTGAAGTGGTAGTGGCACATTCAGTGGAATGGAGCTACAAAAAGGGTCTTTTATTAAAAAACAGATGGCTCTAGGTATAGGGCAAAATTAATGGCACGCACCAGTAACAGGGCAACTAAATATAACAAATGGTGATTCAAAAACTGCCTGTCCATCGCCACTTTTTACAATAAAAATGCACCATATGTTCATTTTATTATTATTTTTTTTAATGAACATAGAATTATCATAAATATTTTATAATCTGAAAATTTATTTCTTGCTTGTTTCTGAAAATTTTCTTCATTTTAGAACTAACCATTAAATGTTCACCATATTTTGATAAATGCTTCAAAAGAAATGCTTCACACTATTAATATTAACTGTTTTTTTAATAATTTAAAAATTTCCATTTTCTCAAAAATGCAGTCATATGTTTTAAAATTTGACCACTATTAAAAAAGTTACAACTGACCAGTAGCAAAATTTACCAATTATGCTTTATAGCTCTAAGTCACTTAAAAAACTAAGGAAAAAGAAGTTAAAGGATGTGGAAAGAGAACTTCAAAAAGATAAAAAATAAGAAGCTGGAAGAATAAAACTCAAAACTGCAAAGAAGGAAGGCTGCCCTAAGGCAGGCTTCAGTTCTCAAAGGGCAATGAGTAATAGTAGCACTATTTGACTTAGATTCAAGTCTGGTATTTACTTGAAATTACTTTAGATTTAAAACATAAAAAATAATACAGAAATGTTGAACATAATAAACCTATTTTGCAAACTCTAATGAAGCAAAAACAAACTATACCTTAATTACTATCAATCGGTCACTTTTAAGATCAAGCTTTAAAACACTGGCAGCTCTGTCTGTATAATACCTGATAATAAAAAATAAATAATAAATAACCAGAAATGAAAAAATATTAGTTTACAAGCAATGATCAAACAAATTTTGCTGAAAAATGAAAAAAGATCCAATAAGAAATTCAAAAATAATAAAAGGATTTTAAGCATATTTATACAAATTAATGCTTAAGCATAAATAATTCAGCCTCTTACAATTTTTTAAAAATAAAAATTTAAAAACAAAATTATTTGCAATTTAGCCACAATTGATTACATTTTGATTAGGGCAGTTTGACATGCACTTATTCGAGAAAGAAAAATTTAAGTTTTGGGATAAACAGAGTAAACTTAAATGCTGTTATTCATGCGGTCAACAACAGTCAAATGCATCTAATATAATAGAATGATATAGTTTAGAAATTAAATATGAATCAAATATTCGCTAAATGCACATTTCTGTTTGGGATATATAAAATAAAAATTTTTTAAACCAAGAACACTTATCATAATAATATTAATATTAGAATTGCAAGAGGTAATTAAAAATTGTTTTGAAATAGTTGAAATTGCTAAAATTTAGACAAGTTTTTGAAAAAAGTATTGAAAGTTAAATAATCTTTTTCACAGTAAACAACAAATTAATACGTTTGTCACCTGTTTCTATAAAAATATGATAGCATTTGTTTTGTTCAACTTTTTAAATGAAATTTCTCAATTTAATAAAATTATAATTAATAAAAAATGAGTACATTTGAGGAGGAAATACATGGTAAAAACTGGTTGAATGAATTATTTTAGTGCATGGGAATAGCAAAAAAAAACATGCTTAGCTAGGGCAAGAAACAAAATTGTAAGGACGCAAGATGATGGAAGGAAAACACCATCACAAAGAGCTCAGTATTTTTAATTGTAAATTCACATTAAACATTTAACAATAAAGAGTAACAACATAACATTAAGTAACATAAAAAAAGAACTTGAAAGTTTTGCCCAAACTGAGTGGGGAAAAGGGAACCAGGAAGGTTCGGAGCTCGTCTTACGTCAGCTCACATTAAGTCAGGATGAAGACTGTTGTTATTGTTTTTGCGTATAGAGGGATAGCGCCATCTGGTGCTACGAATTATCTATCCGTTACAAAATAAAAATACCTTGATAAAAGATCTCATTTTGTATGTAATCAAATAACTGAACAAAAACATGAGATGGTTAAAAAATCTATGAGTCAAGATAAAAAATAAATAAGAATAATATGACTGATTTAAGTCAAATTTATCATTACAAATTCTAGTAATAATTCAAATATTAATACATAAGAACAAAATTATAATTTAAAAGGTTTTTAAAAAAGCCAAACAATTAATCATTCATAAAATTATTTCACTCAACATTTTTTAATACCTCTTCATGATTTCACAGCTGTTCTTAATTAATTTAGAAATGTATGCTTGATAATCATTCAAATTGCAAATGGACATTAAACTTCTTATATTTATACAACATTCAGAATTTTTTCTCATTGTTAATTTTATAAAAATGCTAAAAATTTTAAAAAACACATAAGAATATGACATACCATAAACTTGACAAGTATTGGCACAAGAAGAATGGTTCAAGAGTTGAGTAAGATTTGTATACCATCTCATCAAATCTGAAAGCATAAATTATGTTAATAAATGAAAAATACAAAAAAATATATAAGTGTGAATAATATAAGTCAATATAAGTGTGAATGTGATAATTAATATTATAATTAGAGAAACTATTTCTTTTCAATAGTTGTATTTTCTCATTTTTGAATTTTTTTTATTCCTGGTTCTTTTGTGATACCACAATAATTCCACAGAAATTCTTATTAAAAAGAAAATTTGAAAGGATTCACTTCATTTAAGAAAAATTATAACTCTGCTAAAAATATTTTTAATTATGCATATGCTTAATAAATAGCCACAGAAATGTTTTATTAAGAAATCATACACATGGTGTTTAATTTTCAGTGGCAAACATAAAAAAGAACCTGTCAGAACAAGAAACACATGCCTGTTTTAGTAAATATATAAGCAACTGCTGGGGAAAAATTAACAATTAAAACAAAGCATTTTTACAAAGAAGCATAATTAAGTATATTTATACTTAAAAAGATAAGGTTATGTGGTCTTATATTACAGGAAATTGGTTTTTTAAACACTGCGTAAAGTTAGAAGAGCACTATTAACTATATTAGAGTTAAAATGTACTTAAAAAAACTGCAAAATCAATTGATTTTTTCATTTATATATTTATTTGAAGAATAGAGACAATGACAAAATTAGGATTCATTGACAAACTGGTCAAATACCCAGAAGTATATTAGTATATGCAAGGTGACCACAGGCATACAAAAAAAAAAAAAAAATCTCAGTTTCTTTCCAGATTTTTTTGGACTTATTTACAAAATTTCTCTGGTTTTTTAAACTGGTGGCACAAATGTTATTAATTAAGTTATGCCTCAGTTTTATTTTTGGAATACCTATATTACAAAAGACTTATACACACACTTAGAGCCAGAAATAAGCAATTTTTATTTTAAAAATATTACAAGACGAATTTGTTTGGAAAAAGTATTGGACTTCAAACTCAAATTAATTCATTTCCCCCGACTTTTTATGTATTTTAACTAAATTCCTCGAGTTTTCCTGGTTAATAAAACTTTCTGTTCTGGGGCTACCTTCATACGTCACTCAAATCTAAAAAAAAAAATTCCCTGAACTTTCCTAGTTTGAAAAGAAAAACTCAAAATTCCCTGTATTTTTTCTGTTAATTTTGGTGATTTTTAAATTACCGCTATTTTCCAGGTTTTCCCTGTGGAGTGGTCAACTACGTTTATAATAATAAAAAAATATATTTGGGCTTAAATTCTATACTAAAGTGAGGAAAAAAACAAAACATAATTAACATTAAAATCTGACATTAGTAAGGCAATATTAAGAACATCCAAACCTGTTTGATGGCTGGAGGAAAACAGGGAGATAAATGCTGATTATTAGAAACCATATGAAAGTTTTATCGAGCAATGAAAATGGTTTTAAAATTTTTAATCTTGTTTTCTCAATATATGCTTTTATCTGATTCTCTGATTTATCTTTGCTAATTTAATTATTAGTTTGTGACCTCTAATGACCATATTTTTACTTTACTTTTTACTAGGATTCTAAAAACATTTATCAAGGGAATATCATGCCTGATAAGACATATTTTAAAATACAGGAATAATAATACAACTTAAATAGGAGACATTAGGAAAAAACTCATTCAACTATTTTTTATTCATTGACAAAATACTGGATAGTCCCTTGGATACCATAATTCTTAATGAAAAGGAATAGTAATAAAAATAGAGATATGTAGCATAATCTGTGATTAAGGTCTATTGAGACTTTCACATGCATTTGATATGATTAAATTAAAAAACATTTTGGGCTTTTATATAATAAAAAAAAAAGAATTCATAAAGACAAGAACCTGAGAAAAATAACACTTTTTTTCCCATATAATAATAATTTGAATAATTGATAAGAACAAGCTAAAAATATTTTTAATGACTTTTATAAAATAAGCAGTTAACATATTCACATAAAAAATTCAATTAGAATTTTTATTTCATCACCAGAAATTTTCAAATTATCTTATTTAAAGATTTAACATAAGAAGTCTTACGTTAGAATAAATCTAATACCAAAATTAAAGAAATAAATAAACCTGTAATCATAAGCATTTGTAAAGAATCACAGTTTAATGCTGATTTATCTAAATAATTTACCCCATTAAAACTTTCATATAAAAACTGCTGATTAGTAATAATAATAATGTTGTCAAAAAACACGAAAAATTCATTAAACCTTGTTTTAATATTGAAATGTGAGCAGCCACATAAAATATATCTTAAATTTTTGTAGGCTTTGTTTATTAATGAGTTAGTCAATTATGAGTAATAGTTAAAATAATTCGAGAAATAGAACATGTTAGGACCTGACCATAATATTTATGCTTTGTTCTTTCAGACATAGACAGTTTTACAGCTGATATCAGATTTTAAGATGTTTTGATTAGCGGCCTTTACTAACTTTAGATTATTTCTTACAAGTTGTGTTTATAAATACCCATGTTACAGCATAAGTAATTTTTAATCACCCTAAATATACATATCATAATATTAACAAGAAACCAGGATATTGAAAAAAAGTATTACATCTTTATAACATTATTTTGGAGAACATAATTTATGCATATGTAGGTGATAGAACATCTCAGTTGGAGAGTAAGTGTAATTATGTAAATTATAATATGTAATAATTATGTAATAATTGACTTATCAAATAAGATAAATTGATTTAGTTTTCTAGCCTTTTCAACACAGACCCGATTAAATATTATATAAATGCATACAAAAAATTATAATAGTAAACGCAACGTCAAAATAAATAAATTCATAGCAATCATGGCTTTAAAGTTCCAAAACATAGCACTTTCATACATACTGTTGATCTATTTGAATGCATTTTGAGTAGTATATACAAATTCAAGACACAGAGAAAACATATAATGTTTATCATGTGCATATTTTTATTATTTATTTCAGAATTTTTTAAAAAACAGGTTTAAATTATAATGCTTATAAAGAAGAAAAAAATAAAGTTAAATTTTTCACTTAAAGATTTAAATTTGTCTCAAATTTCTTTAAGAAAAAGACTGACAATCTTATCTTTTTCTTATTTTTTCAATGAAAAATTTCTTAAGAAAATTTACATCTCATAGAAGATACAATTATAATTTTTTTAAAAAAAGAACATTTTTAGATGATTGTTGGCTTTGAAATTTATTTTAAGAAACAAATAAAATTTTACCTAGAGAGGTGTAAAATTAAGTTCTGGGCTTCAGGTTCTAAAAGAGGAGATGTGTCAATATCCACCTTGAAAAGAATCTCATTATCTTCAAATAACCTAATAACAGGAAATTGCACCATTTCAAAATACAAGTTATAGAAATAATCCAACAAGTCTAAGGTTGATAAAAGAAAATCTGAACTTTCATTGTTTTCTTAGTGAAGACGCGATACAGATTTTGAAAATAATTACAATAAAAACACGATCAACTTCCGTACAATATTAAGCGAATTTCCGACGAGACAAGCTCAAACCTTGAATTAATTCATCTCCCCAGACTTTTTATGTGTTTTCATTAAACTCCCGGTCATTTCCAAATTGATAAAAATCTTTGACTTTTTCCTGATCTCTATTCTGTGGTCATCTTACCTATTATTACATTTCTATTAAAAGTAAAGACTTAAACAATTATAACATGACCACTTTTTATATATTAACACAAAAATATTTATCGATCTGAGGGAATAGGCGCTAAAATTCAAAGATGAGTAAATATTGTAGTCATTCCACAGTATAAAAATAACATGCTAAACTATGTATTATTACATTTCTATTAAAAGTAAAGACTTAAGCAACTATAACATGACCATTTTTTATATATTAGCACAAAAAAATTTACCAATCTGAGGGAATAGGTGCTAAAATTCAAAGATGAGTAAATGTTTTAGTCATTCTACTAAACTAAGTGGCACGACAGCCCATAGAGGACCAAGGCCTAGTGTGCCCATCTCAGTTTTCTTGACCGTGGGCTCTGGGGTGCAGGAGCAGATGTTCTGGTTAGGTGGTCAGCCGAACGCGAAACCCCCAGTGTTTAGTTCCCAAGCATGCTTGGTACTCATTTATCAACCCACTGAAGGGATGAAAGGCTGAGTCAACTTTGCCCGGCCCGAGGATCGAACCCAGGACCTGTGGCACGGGAGCGCGAAGCGCTACCATTTAGTTATTCTACAATATGAAAATCAAACTCATTCCATGATAAAAAATAGTGCAAAATTTACCCTTTCAAACCAGCGTGACAAAGTTGAAATGCTGCTCCACTGTTTCTTCCAAAACTCAGTATTTCATTCAAGTTAAGAGAGTAATTAAAGTTTCTTCGATGTTTCATATCAAACATAAGTAAAGAGGAGTAGCTAAGAATCTCAGCAACTCTCTCCAGACTTTCATTTGTCTCTAGATCTAAAACAAAAGAGTTTATTAAAACCTTTATTAACATAATTGAATAGGAAAAAAAAATAATATCATAAAAACATTTGACTGAACTTGTATAGTAAATTAAATTTAAAATGCTGTTTTATCTTTATCTATATTAAATATGTGATTTTATAAGAGATAAGAAAATAATGATAATATTCATCCAATGATAATAAAAAAAAATTAATGTGTTCCATGGTAGATATAATAAACATTTAATTTCGAAGAATTTTCAATATTTGTATTGTTTTATTTACTTTCTATTAACTAAGACAGCTTACATTGTATAACAAGAAACAGTTAAAATATTGGATATATTTTAATTTTTTTTACAAGGTATTAATGATTTTGTATAGTGCGGCTTTGAGGAGAACTCCTCCAGACAGAAAGTCTGCGGCTGTCTGCTGCTTTGGTAACAAGCGAGAGCACATTTCTAATTTGGGTGAAATGGTGGAAAGAAGGTGTCGATTGGTTTACTAATGACGACCCACGCTAAGACTAAGACAAAACTATTCACCCCACATCCCTATTCGAAGTGGTCTTTCCTCGTAACCATAGTACCCGCCCCGACGCGCATCTGGAGGAGTTCTCCTGAAAGCAGCACTATAAAACTACTTTAATTTGAATTTAGTCATTCCAACAAAAATTTTAGGCAATTGAGTTTCTAGCGCCAGGTAATAAAATTCATCAATTTGAGAATTAACAAAAAACTATTTGAAAACTTACAGCCACAACCACACACTGTTAAAGAAAACTGTAACACTTAACAAATTACAAGAATGAAAATTTGATAAAACATATCATGCCTTACAAAGCTCAGTTTCCAATTTTTTCAGCATAAAAAGATTCATTTCATTAAGTATGTCTTCAACTGATGCCCTTTTCTTTCTCCCATGAAAGTCACTAATGTTTTCCACACCAATGAAGCATAATTTTCTGCAAACAATAAAAGATATCATAACATGAATTCAACATGATTCCATATAAACAATGAGTATACATTATTAAGTAAAGCAACAAAAATATTACCTACTCTGACCAACTATAGTTTAGCTCTGTTAGCAAAGATGAAAACACTTCAAAAAAGTTTTCCTGAGATTTTGGAGCCTGAAAAAGAAAAGACAATTTAATTAGGGGGAAATATAATTATAATAATACATTATATAGTGTGCCCACTAAAGTCTATATCCATCATCTTGACTACTAAAGGGTTGAACTATAGATATAAAAGTGTCTAGGTATAGTAAAGTGGTTCCGCATGAGATCACTGACAGCACTACTTAGGAAAAAGACTATGGAGGTAGCATTCCTGTCTCAAAAACAGCATGAGATTGGGTGAAAGGTGAACTACAAAGCTGAATAGCGCCATCAATTAAGTACAAAAAAGCACCCAGTGGACATACTGCAAAAACCAATAAGACTATATGTTTGTTTGCAATAACTTACACTGAGGGAATATTAGAAAGAAGGGGGGGGGCAAATAACTAGGGTCTACATATCAATGAAAATTTAGTGGTCCAATAGGACCACCTAGGTATTCATTTAGTGATCTGAAAATTAAATATGGTAAACAAACTTAAAATAAAATTGATTTTGACAAATGTATAATTCATGTTATGGTATACATCAAAAAATTATTAATTGCCACCAATAACACCCTGAGACTAAGTAAGCTCATTATCTCACAATGGTTGAAGATTATTTATTAAAATTAAAAAATATTAGTAAATAGATTCAACATATAGATTAATATGCTGACATCAAATAAATAGAGGAAAACCAAGGAAGAACTAACAAAATATTATATTAAAGATTTATTTTCTAAAAATTATACAATTCTAAGTAAAGTTAGTTCTAAAAAAAACAAAAAAATATTTTATTGATTAACAATTATACTAGTAGTACATGAATGCTAAGAACAGCACAACATAGAAATTTGAAATTTCAACATTTAAATTAAAATATTTTTTATATCACACTTTCAGTTATTCCAATTGAAAAATTTTGAAACTAAAAAAAATAAAGAAAAGAACAAATTGTAATTAATTTAAAGAAACACGTTTAGTCATGTCATAGGCCTTTAATAAAATAGGAGTTCATTTTTAATGATCCATAAACAAATGCCTAATCTTTTCCTTTCTTCATTTAAAAGCTGCCTTTCCAAATCGAAAAACTTAAGGGTTTGGTTCCATTATTCGTTACTATTTTGTAAATTCCAAACATATTTCAAGGCGACAAATTCATTGCACATGTGTATGATTTTAGCAATATTTGTAAAAACTTCAGCAGCAATTGTCGCCTAACTGGTCTGAACCCTACAAATAACAACAAAAAATACTTTTATGTCAGATGTTTAAAGCTAAAGGGGTTTCAAAATCTTAAACTAAACACTAAGTGGTGTGGAAAGTTGTTTTTCATGTTGTGTAACACAGCGAGTTTACTGTAATTAGCAACCACTTTTAAAACAATAGCTTTTGGCAGTTAAAAGGGTGAATATGGACTTCATTGGCACCCTGGATAATAATACAATTACGGAGATAGTAATACATTATGTATTATTGACACAAGCTTTTTTTTTCTTTTTTAAATTAAACAATTTGGATCTAAACTATATAAAAAAATTATTAAGGTAACACATCTTTGCAATCATTTCATAGCAACAATATGCAGGGTATCTGCTACATTTTAGATTTTCAAATCCATGTCTTTTCATGACTAATTCCAAGAATGACTTAAGGAAGTTACTATTTTCTACGCCAAAAACACAACAATAACTTTAAAAAAGCATTATAATAACATTAATTGAAATGATAAGTACAATCAAAACTGTTATACTCTGCATTTTCACATTTATATACTTTAATTTAAAAATCAGAGTAAAGAAAGAGTCGAAGCAATAAAATAACTGATAAAAATACAAAAGCAGATAATTTTTTCTTTTTTTCTGCAGAATTATATTCTAAAGATACTTTTCTCATTCATCCGAAAGGAAAGAAATACTCCTGATTTTTCTGTTCTGATTTTGGAATAAAAACAATACGCCAGTGACTGGCTTGCTTCAGCTAGAATTTTTAATTGATAAAATAAAATAAAAAAAATAAATAAAAATTCTGAAATTACAAAAGTTAAAAAGATAATTTGATCTAGAAATGTTTTTTCCTCCATTTTTTGAAAAAACACCATAATTTTTACAGACAGGGGAGCTGCAGAATTAATCAAACCAGAGAAGTTTGGAGATGTGTTGTAAGAGAGGTCAAAATACATCATAGGCTGTAGTGCCAAGGAGTAAGCTAGGTTTTAAGGATTAGATAAATCTGCAGAATTAACCAATCCAGAAAAATAGTTTTAGCAAATATGTTTCGTGGGTTTCTCTTAGAATAAAAATCTTTTACGAAAGATTATTGCAAGAAATAAAAATTGGTCAGATTAATTATTCACTTGCAAAATTATAAAATTTTTCATTTATAAAAATTTCATATTTCCAAAAAAATATTTTTAAAATTTCTTAAATGCAAAAAGATTTGAATTTTAATGACATAAAATGTTAATATTTAACTTGTATCAATACTCTTATTTTGCTCTTTTTTTAATAAAATATTCCACACAAGACAAATATTTATCAAATAAAAAATTTAATTTTCTAATAAAAAATAATATCCAATAAAAGAAATACAAGATTTTAAGTTTTAGCCTATTTAGTTGTGAATTGATGTCTTGTTTGATTGCCTAATTCTATTGTCACCCCTCCTTCTGTTGATACTAAGTAAAAACAAATATAGTACAAAATTCTCCTTCTTAATATATTTGTACATCAAAATATATTAAAAAGGAGAAAGTGATGTTTATGAATTTCTGTGTTTAGCTAAATAATAATAACCACAACAAAAATACTCACCACATAATATAAAATATCAAAATTATAAGTTGCTTCTGTATGAATAGCTGAATGTATAGCACTAAAAAAAAATTACTCAAATTAGTTTTGACTTACTAATAAAAAGGTCAAAATACAAACGATAAAACAAAATTGTCAAAGAATTAATATTATGATGATGAAGTAACTGACTTGCACAGACTGTAAATAAAAAATTTTGAAATCTGAGAATTAGATGCGGCGTCTTCTTTATGATTGTTCATAAAATTTGCTTTCAATGTACCATCACTAAAAGAAAGAAAAACTTACAGTTAATAATGGGTAATATAAAAATAATATTTCTATACATTGCACAATAAAATGATGACTTTCTAAAGGTGAATTTGTAATATGTTTTTATGTTTAAAATTGAGTTTTAAAATTTCAACAATTTATTAACTTTTGCTTATTTACAATTTATAACCTAGCCCTTTATCTCAACACTTCTGATTTGAGAAAAAAAAATTCAATGTACTAGAATACATCATTTGAAGCACAAAAAATATTTAAAAAAAAACTACATTATAAAATTAAAAATTTATAAAAAAAAAAGTTTGAAGCATTTTAATAACATAATGCAAAACTACAAAATATTGATTGTTGTATTTCTGCATCATTGTAAAAAATGCCTCACATATTCAAGAATTCAAAAATTTCAATCCAAATTTCAGTTTGAGTTATATTACCAAAACTAATACATGTATCCTTGTAAGCAACAAATTGAACTTCAATTAAAAAAATCACCACAGTAGAAAAAAGTAGAACAATATGTGTTAAAAGTAATGTTGCAGAATTGCAATAATTGTGAAAATACATATGCTTTTTGTGTTTGTTGCAGATGAGCAGCACAGTGATATAAAATGTTTAAAAGAAGTGTAGAGACGATAGTACTTAATTAAAGACTTGTTAGGCTTCTTGTTTCAGTTCAAAATGTTTGCAAAAGTAGTCATAGTAACTGTAGACAAAATAGTATATTTAATTTTAAAAAAATGTTAAACGTTTAATCAATGTTATTATTTGACAAAAACATAGTTAAACAAATGCAAAAAATAAATAAAAGATAAAATAAATAAACAAATTTAAAATTCTGTTTTCCTTTAAATGGGTACAAAATACTTTAACTTGACTGATTTTTATTATTTTTTTGAAAGACATTTCAGTATCACATTCTAAGTCTGCCAAATGCAATCTCTAAGGCACCAAAGTGCCAAAGAGGTTTCTTACCTTTGAGTTTGCCCCTTTCTGAGGTGTTTTTATTAATAAATAAATTTATTTTTTAGTTTCTTGTGTACTACTGCCAGGTTGTTGCCAAAAATTGACAACCCTTATGACACCAGAGCTGATATCAATGTTTGTCTGGTGCTTAAAAAACAAAACACTACCTTTTTTACTAGTGTTCTTTTTATACATTATTTATTAGATAAAAATAATTATATTTTATGCATTCAATTAGCACCATTTTAAAATAAAAAAGAACACATATGATAAATAACAAACACAGTGTATAAATATACCAGTCAATATATAAAGTCTATGAGAAATATTTTTCTTAGAGATAGTAATGCATAAATATTAAAAAAATTTATAAAATATTGTATTAAAAATATTAAAATATTGTTAAAGCATAAATATTGAATTTTAATACTTCAATCTACTTTAATTATCTTAACTGTTTTTGTATGAAAAATCAATAATTCAAACATAAGTATGTAAGGTAGATTACTTTACTACCTCCTGCCAAAACCTTTTCCAGCAACCATACAATATGAAAGGTATGATAATAATATAAAGGAATATAATATAAATATAAAGGACGGCTTTGAATTTTTAAAATATTACTCACTGTTGAGGAATAATCAAATTCTTTGCAACAAGATCTTCATATACTTTTTTAACTTCTGATGAAAAGGAAGAATCAAAACGAACATTATCAAAACTTAAATCTAACTTCTAAAATAAAGAAATTAAAAATTGTGTATTGTTTGCAAATAACATATACGCATAATCACTTGTGAAATAAGGAGCGTTTTACCTATATTTTTGAAAAACATCACATATGATTATTTTGCATTATATTAGCCCCAGAAATCCCATGGGAAAAAAATGCTATACAATTTTTAAGCATATTTCAAAAAGGATACTAAAGTTCAGTGACCATGAACCACTATGTTTAAATTAAAAATCAGATTGTGCAATGTTAAAATACAGTTTTCGAAAATCACTATAGTTCATATTTTTAGAGCAATTTAAAGCAATAAGTTTATTTCTGGTAGAACAAATACGAGTTATAAATTAAAATATCATTTTACAAAACTGAGAAAATATTTAATAATAATAAAAACAGAAACTGCGAGAAAAATAATACATGATTTATATTTCAAATGGGATGCTAAAATTTGATCAAAGAGGATTGTTAACAAAACATCAATATCAATGTTAAATATTTTGTGGCACTTTTACGGAAAACAAAAAGAGCATTTCAGTAATTTTAGTACAATTAAGAGCAGTAGTTTTACAGTCTTGACACAGTTTTCATAGGCAGATAATCTTTTGAGGCGATAATTTTATTCAAATTTTAACTATTATATTTTTTTACAAGCAATATAAATAGTATTAACATTTTTGAGAAATTTCCTGATATTTCCAAAATTTCAAAACTATTCTTCCAAATAGAGTTTTCTCTATTGCTGGATAATTTGCAATTTAATGATCATATAAATTCAAATATAAATACAAATGTTGTCTTTTTAATTAAAAGTAATTTTAAAGAGAGTAAAAGCAAGTAAGATTTTGACAAAATGCCTATTTTGATGTAAGTAAAATAAAATAAATATATATAAGTCTGATAGATTATTTGAAAGATAGATTGGAGTGATTCTAAGTAAAAATATTAGTTTGAAACAAGTTAAAATAGCAGTTTGGAGAACCATATATATACAGTAGAGTGCCGATTATCCGAACTGCTCGGGACCGAACGTGGTTCTGATAATGAAAAGTTCGGATAATTGGAAAGTTGTTTAAAATCTAGTTTAAATGATTAATATTTATGCACTAACTTCCCTTCACACCTTTTCCAGACTCAGGACTGGTAGTACTATCTAAAATATCTCTGGTGCGTTTAAAAAATGTTTTTTTAAATTTTTAAATATTTTTCATTTATTTATTTATTTTCTTAAAATTTTTTTTTTCATTTTGAATTTTTTTAAAATCATATTTCAGCTTTTTATTACTTTTTTTGTAAATTACTGATTTTACCACATTTTTCTTTATTTTCTTTCGCATTTCTACCATTGTAGACTGTCAAAATGAAGCTCCCATTCTTGGAAGATAATTTTCAGTTGAATAGGGCTAAGGGGTATGTAGGTTTAACTGTATAACAATACATGTATGTATGGTTACTATAAGAAAGCTGCTAAAAAAGGTTGTAAATTAAATAAGGTATTCAGATGTAGTGGACATTATTTATTCTTCTAAGTTTAGAAAATTTTTCGATAAGTTGAATAGTATTCTAAACTTAAAAACAAAAAAATGAATTCTGACATAGTGCGGATAATAAGGGTTCGGATAATCGGCGCTCTACTGTATATATACATAAGTTATATTTAACAATTTGATATATGATTTTTGATTAAGTGAGATGCTTTTACAGTTTATTTAGATTCATAAAAGCAATATTAATATGCAAACACATTTAAGTCTACTTTTTTTAAAAAAAAAATAACAGAAAGTTACACTATATTCATTTCTATTTTTAAAATATGGGCAGGTATATGCACACATAACTGCATTAAGGGTGGTGCTTGCAGAAGACTTGGTTTCAATTCATAGACAACTTTCCCAAGTACATAGTTTATGGTCAGTTTGTTTCTATAAAGAAATTGGACAATCGAGCAATAAAATTTTTGCATTAAAATTAATTCTGTTTTAAAAGGAAAATAAGGACTTGACTTTTACTAAGACTACTTATAAAAAATATGCAATCCTAAGCGATTTTAGAGATATTAAGTTAAAATAAGCACCTAAAAGCCTTTTCTAACACCATGAGAATTCTATTATTTTGAGTAGATTTATGAACAGTTTAATGATTAAAATTTAAAAAAAATTGATTAAAAAATTTCAGATTGGGAGCTGCTGGGATATACTCCTGGCTACAGTATTTGCAAATGTATATTGCCCATAGCAATTTTACCTACGTTACAAATATATATATAATTACTAAATATAAATTTTACCTCAAAAACTGGTGTGTATTGCTCCCAGCATAAATTTCTGATATTAAACCATTCAGAACATTTATCTAATTGTGATTTAAAAAAAGAAAAGAAATAAAAAGCATAAGTCAAAATAAGTAATTGTTTGATCAAAAAGAGATTATTATAACAAACAAACTATGATTACCTTCATCTTTAAAACAAGAATTTACCTCGTTTTGAAAGCTTGGGTCACTTTCATATAACTGTTTGGCTATTTTAGAAACCTATTAAAATGGACACAATTTTTATCCACATGATCATAATAGTAAAAAAGAATTAGTACACTTAAAAATGATATTGCCATTTTTGTATATATTTACTCATACAGGTTGTCTTCAACTTTGGAACAACAGCAGCTTTTGCTACTAAAGTGGTAGCTTGGTGTGTAATAAAGTGGCTATGTAAGACATCGGAAAGAGATATGGGGGAAAAGTGAAATACAAAGTTATAGAGCATCAAGAAATGAGTACAAATAGACATCTTCTAAAAGTTAATGTTAAGAAACGTTCACATTTGCTTGTTCAGAATTTCTTACAATGAAACATGAAGAAACGATCTTAATAAGGAAAAAATTAATTATCACAAGATATCTTTACTTCTCGATCTTCAAAACTTTAAAGCTTTGAACATTCAAAACAAATGCAACTTGAGATAACTAGTTATTATTTTCTAAGACCATTTCATCCCACACATCATAGAAAATTCTAAATATTAAGAGCATGCTTTCTGCGTTCTTTTCTTAGGATCAATATTCACCAGGCATCTACTTGTACCAATTCAATCAATTAATTAATGTATTATAATTTTGTAATTCCCTTTTCCCTCATACACTTAGACTTAGAGGTCGGGCAGCTCCAAAGAGCAGGGTACATCGACCTGAGGTCTGTTGAACCCAAACTCTAAATCATGATCAACAAGAAAGCTTTATAGCTGAAATAAAGTTCAGCAAACACCTGACAGGAATGCCTTGCAGTTCCCAGTCTATAATGCAATGTTGCCCTAAATGCTCAATTCTTTGTGCAGAATAAACCTCACAATCATAAAGTATATGTGGTAAAGTCTCTTCCTCAAGATGACAACCTGGACAAAGAGAATCACATTCAATACCCATTATGTATAGGTGTCTCCTGAGGGTGCAGTGTCCAGTAAGAAGACCAATGAACTTCCTCAAACTGTGCTTGTTTAGCTTAAGAAGCTCTTTTTGACGTACACTAGGACAGTCGCGATTCAGCTTTTTACCTTGTCTCAGACCATCCGAGTTACGCCATAGCGCATGGGCAATTTTGCCATACAACTTGAATATAGTTGCCCTGAATGATGTGAGAGAGAATTCCAAGGCTGGTTCAGGGCACCTGAAAATTACACTGGAGCCAGCCGTGCTGCTTCATCAGCCAGTTCATTTTCAAGAATGCCCATATGTCCAGGTATCCAATGTAGGTATACCTTGTTATAAGTAGAGAGCTTACAGAGGACTGAGAAGCACTCCTACACTAGTGAAGAGGCGAATTTACACCATGATAGTGATAGGAAAAATTTTCCCTCATAACTTGTACAGTTTGAAATAGAAATGACAACTCCTCAGTTTACTACAAGTTGGAGTTGTAAGTAGTTTCATCTATTTGTGCATAGCCACTTTATTAAATCTAGACATCACTTTTATAACTATAGCTGCAAGAGGTTATAAAGTAAAATGGGTGGTTTTGAACTGTAGTGGGCAGAATAGTAATAACTAAGAATACTAAAATAAACATATGGATAATTAGACTAGGAGTTATTTAAAAAAAATTCGCGGCAATTTCACGGCTACAAAAGTAAGATTTGTAGATTTTAAATGCATATAACTTAATTAAAAAACCATTAAATACTTTGGATATTTTTTGTAGTTACAACTCTTGTGGTCCTTTGTACTTTTTCTTAAACTTTTCTACCTGCATAAATTTTAAAATTTTTTAAAAAAATACTGACTGTTATGGGCGTAACTCACACAAATGTCAAAATTGCAAAGCGGTCAATCGTTTACATATTTCCATAAATCATAAGGAAATTTAAAAAAAAGTATTTTCATATAAATTTTGAAAATTGTTACATTTTTAAAAACATTCAAGTTTTAAAGATTGTGACTTTTAATAACTATGAAAAATGCAAATTAATTTGTTCTGGATATAACACTCTATGATTTTAAATTATGGATTAACTGTTGAAAAATTGAATCGGTTAATAAATAAAAGAATGCAAAAGTAAAATGATTTATAACTAAGATTGAATAGTCTTAATGATTTCATGACTATATTTTATACTCAAGAAAGAATTTTATTAAAAAAATTTTGAGAAAAACAAATACTTTATTTTATAAAAGAAATGATTACATAAAGATAAGTTTAAAAAAATGAATTTACATAAAAAATTATAATACAGACTCTGCGTAACATCATAATTATGATGAAATACGCTATTTTGTGAAAAAAACCATCAACAAAAACATGAGACGGAAAATGAAAATAATTGATTTCTGGTCTGGGGGACTAGTGCTAATTATTTTATGGTGGTCAGAATCTCATTTTATTAGTCTTGGACCATCGGATAGCCATTAATTTTGAGACCTGTTATCAAATAATGCTGCCAATATTCAAAATACAATTTTTTTTCAAAATATTATAAACTTCATAGTAAAAGATTTCATTTGAAACCTTATACATATAATACATTTTAAATTATATAGAATTGAATTTTAGAATAATTAAAAATAACAAAAGTTAAAAAACATAATTATTTAGTCTCTTTCAAATACTATATTAAATATTGGCACCAATGATGTAACAATGTAAATATGTTACGTCAGTAACATAAAATGTCCCGTCTTTAACACAAATTTAAAATTGCATGCTAAGAAAAAAATTTTGTGGCATTTAACATTTTACTAAAGTGATAAAAGAGTCAGAATTTTTTTTAAAAAAAAATATCGCTTTCATTTGACAAAAATTTACATTTTGCTTTATTTATGGTACGAACGTAACAAAAAATTTTACAATTGAAATTCTAAAATTAGCAAAAATTTTTTTTCATCAAAGAATTACTTTTTTAAGTACATAATTGTAGTAAAATGTTACAAGAAATTTAACAAAATAGGTTTAAAGCTTAAAATATTTTATAAAATATTAAAATGGAGCATTAAAATAAGGCCTTTATTTCCTATAATTCTTGCAAAAATGAAACATGAGTTCGGAGCTATAAATGCTGGTATTAATTAAATGCTAATAGAAATCATGCTGCCTAAGATTAAAACATACATTTAAAGTTTTAAAATGATGATATAAAATATGTCAAGTTTGCTGAAGTTTGAAATTTTGAGTTACTTTTCGTGGAATTGCCCATAGGTAATCAGAAAAAAAAAAAGGTACAATACCTCAAACAGATGACTTGCTGGATTATTAAGGAGTTCTTTTTCATCTCCCAACTTTTTGAAACCTGTCAGAGTTATAGCTGAAAACAAAATTTTATCATTCAAAACAAAATTTTTTAGACAGTTTTATAAATTTTAATCAGTACTAGTTCTTTTGAACCTAAGTGTCTATAAACAAAAGAAAAAATAAAACTCTGGCTCAAATAAAAAAAAATCAAAACTTTTATACAATCTGTAATGACTAATATAAGAAGGAAACTTTCACTGGCTAAAAACGTAAATAAATCACAGTTGTATAGCCTCTCTTTTCAATAGATGAGAAAATTACTATATATATACACATACACACACACATACATATATGCCGGTATGGTGACATAAATTGACAATTGTTGCCAAATGTTCCACAAATGTTGCTAAAATTATACGCATTGGCGAAAAATTTGTCACCTTAAAATATGTTTAGAATTTACAGAATAGTAAAGAAAAATAATTTTTTTGTATTAAATTTCATGCATTTAAAAAAAAACAAAAATTGTACTAATTTTATTGTTCTATGCATGTTATTGAATTCAAATGGAATTACTAAAAGCAGTCTAGTACAAAAATTTTAAAATTAAATACGAAAATTGCAAATTTACATGTTATGAGCTACTTTACAACCGTATGCAGACAGTATAATTGTTTATAAATAAATTTGTTTTCTTTCAGAATTAACTAAATTTAAAACTTTATAATTTTTAGATAATTTTTAATGCAATATTTTTTTAGATCTTACTTTTCCCATTTATTTATTTACCTGGTCTCAGCATTTTAATCTATTTATTAATATTATTTAACATTTTTTTCACTTAATTTAAATAAATACCAATTTTTAATCATTACGAAATAATGAACCTAATTAGCTTTAGGGTGTTATAGATTGCAATAAATAATTTTTGATGTGCACCATAACATAAATTATGCAATTTCGATTTTTTCCCAAAATTTATCTAAATTCTAAGTTTATCGACAACTAAATTTTATATATATATATATACAGTAGGGAACCGATTATCCGGAACGATCGGGACCATCGCTATTCCGGATTACTGATTTTTCCGGTTTTCTGAATCGCTACAAAAAGCTGTTTTTTTTATTGTTAAACCCAACTTAAAAAAAAAATATTTGGAAATAATCTTAAAAAGAAGAAAAAACGATGAAGTAATACACTAATGATTATTTCCAAAATGACGGTAAGGTAAACATCTTTCAAAAAAGAAAGAAAAATCCTAAAATCTTATGAGGAAAAAAACATTTTTTTTAAAAAAATGGCTGGAAAATTTATTAAATTTCGTTCCGGTTTTTTGGTTTTCCGCTTTTCTGATTTCCGGATAACGGGTTCTGTACTGTATATGTATATATATATCAATAAAATAGAATCTGCATGAAAATTTAAAATCCAATGGCTGCAAAAAATTTTTGTCAGCAATACTTATTTAATTGTGGTAATAGGCACTGTGATGATACTAAACTATGTATTCATATAGTGATATAGGTTTTTTAAGATCCCTAGAAACAGAGTAGTACCTATTTAAATCCATCAACAAAATTTACCTATTTAAAAAAACAATTAAACACATTGAAAAACAATCTAAAACTTGTGAGTTCTCATGATAAAAGTCAATGACACATACTGCTATAATACACCTTGAATATTAATTTTTAATAAGATTTTTAGTTATAACAAAAAATTTAATAAAAGAAGAAAGGAAAAAAATTGAAGAATATGTTTAAAAACAAATTTGATGACTTTTTTGTGTGTAAAAAATTGAAATAAAGGTTATCTTTGTAAACATAAAAGCTGCTTTATGGAGTAAAAATTATCAAATTTAATGATAAATTATAATAATTTGCAGAAGGTTAACTTATGTCATACCACTAATATGCCAGCAGGTCAAAAAATAGAGCATTTGAAGAATATTAAAATTATCTTAAAAAAACAGAAGAGAACTTGATTATGATGTCTACATGAAGTCAAAATTATGATTAAATTGTGCCAAAATTATTCATATTAATAAGACTTGGATTGCAAACCCAAATGTAGAAACATCAACTTAATTGACAAAACTTATAACTTAATTAGTGAATGATTATGGTGTATTATTATTAATGAATTACTATGATGTATTAATTATTATTGTAACAATGACAATTCCAAATTGACAGTGTATAACCTGAATCTTTATCAATTAACGAATTTATCATTCTATTTAATCAGTTTTTATACATTTTCTAAGTTGTAATCAAAATATTAATTTACAGCAAGTTAACATAATGGCACATTATTTACAGGTCAAAGAATACAGCGACGGAAAACTGTTCAAACTATGTTGGAATAATGGAATAATAGCAACATAAAGTTTCAAGTATGATTACATAATACCGAAATAAATTGTTTGTGTGTTCACATGATTTAAAATTGTTCATGAAGATTAATATTTACGGGATTTAAAATTGCACACCGCGTTATGCATTTTCACAATTTTATATCAAATATTTCCGTATTCATGCATTTCAAAAGCCATTATGATTTGTTTTCAAGTGACTTAAATTTGTACACCAGAATTTGTATTCACGCGATTTTAAAATCAAACACCGATATTCAAACTTACGCAATTTTAAAATCAAACATCAAAATTCGTATTTTCTCGATTTTAAAATTAGACACCGAGATCCGTATACACACGTTTTTAAAATCAACTATCGAGTTTTGTATCCAAGCGATTTAAAAATTAAATATCAAGATTTATATTCGAGTGATTTAAAAAGCACATATTGAGATTCATACTCACATAATTTAAATGAATACATAAAATCTCCCTTTGACATTTTTATTAAAATGTTGATAATATTCTGTGGATAAATTCATACACTTTAATATAAACTTTTTTCTCCCTCAAATTTCAGTTATTTTTTGCTTGTTTAAAAAGTGTTTTCGCACATAACATTTTTGGATTGCTACTTTCAGCTTTTCTGTTTTTTTAACAAACTCATCCTTGTGGTATGACTAAATATAGAAATTAAAATATTGAATATGTAATTGTGTGTCACCAAAATGAAAAGGTTGAAATTTAGATACAAGAGTTAATCAATTGTTTGCGAATACTTTTTTAATTGAGATTTTGTATTCACAGTAAGTTTTTCATTTTATTTAAGTTTGGATGTAGAATTTTAAGAACATTCTTTTAAGAACTTAGATATTTTGAACCCAATTCAAAGGGTAAGGGCTTTTTCAAGTCAAATATTAAAAGAATTAGACTAAACTTTTTTGAGTAAAACTATAATTCATGTTTGGGTTCAGAGGCCAATTCAGGTTTCCTTAATTGGGTCTTATTTTTTTAATTTTATAATAAATAGTTTAGAATTCTATAAAATTTATTTGTCATGAAAATAAGTATTTTTATTTGTTTTAAAGGCAAAATAACAGAAAGAAATTTCAACCAAATTAAAGAAATTTTAATATTATTAGCTACGTTACTGCTATTGTACATTTAATTTAACTATTGCACAACTTTCATTAATTGCCATGGCTAATACTGGTTGCTAAAAAAAGTTGTATCACATTCCCCTCTTTTTTTGTTAGCTTTGTAGGTTATTCTATTGTTTTTTTCTTTTTTTGTCAATAAATACATGAGGTCAACTGAGGTCCCAGGGATGTCTAGTCGCTATGAATTCCTCATTTGGTTTGCACCGACCACAGAGCTGACATAAAATATCCTCAGCGGTAGACAGATCATGGGTTAGAGTCCCCTTGCCATCAGGCTAACCATGGGAGGTTCTTGCGGTCTTCCTCTCCATGTAATGCAAATGTGGGTTAGTTGCATAAAAAAGTCCTCCACAAAGGCAAATTTATCCCTATACTTGTAGGAGGTCCTCTGGATTGAGTTCAAAATTACAAGGCTACGCAGTTGAATATTAATAGTCGTAAACCCCAAAATTGGAGTGGCTGTTCACTCACGGTTATAAAATAAAAAAATAATAAATACAAAAGAGCGAATTTTCATGAAAATTACTTTTGCGTTGAAAGGATGTAAACAAAATAAATTATTAATCAAAGAGAAATTTTTTTTTCAGGAGTTTCGAACTTTGTCAAAGGTACATGTGAGTAGCTAGGTAAAGGTCTTATTTTAGTTTATGAATCATTTTTTGGAAAGGTTCTTTGTGAAACTTGGATGTAGGTAAAGAATCCCATTTACGAGTTTTCATGCACATAAATTGCTACTACGATTACCACAAATGTGTAACAAAGCTAATGCAACTTAAGTGAGAACTAGAGTTTTGCAAAAGATAGTGGTAAAAGCAAAAATTTTAGATTACTAAACATTTATATCATCATAAAATGCAGATATTTTTAATTCATAATCATAAATTTACCAGACTTTAGGTTCCAATCTGCCATGGAGTATATTTTATTGACTTGATTTCCAAAAAATGTACTGATATTTTCTATAAAATTGCAATGGATAATAGTACGAAAATCACTCATGTTAAACCTTTCACCAACTGAAGGCAAGCTACATAGAATAAAAAACAAATAGAGATAGTTGAAATTAAAAGTAATGAAAGACCACATAAATATAAATTAAACTATGACATATGTTTTGACGACAATATGTAAACAAAAAAAAAAATTCATACATTTTTAGTTTTGACATTTAATAATCTTAAAAATAAAGTTAAAAAGAGTTAAATTTATAAATTAAACAAATTTTAAAATTAACACATGACAAATAAGAAACATGAAAGAATCACACACACAAAAAAAGAAATTGATAGAAACTGAGCTAGAGATAAATTTCTAGTTTAGAAAAAAAAAACTTTATAAAAAAAATAAGTTCTTATTATAAATCATCTCATAAAAACAGAATTCATTTCACTATGCTTGAAAAATATCTTTACATGTAAATAGTTACTGCAAAAAAAAATTTAAAAAAATGTTTTTTTTTTTAAAAAATTATTGAACAAGTATTCCAGACAAGTGTTGCACGTTATTATGAAATAAAGAGAAAAGTTTTTATTTATTGGCAGTATTTAAAAATAAAATGCTTTCTTCAAAGCTCCTTTAAAAAAGAAGAAAAAAAAAGTGCACTATAGAAAATAATTCATCAATTACCTGAAATGCACAGCAATTTTCTTAAGTGGAGTATTATGAAAAAATGAGTTATCTACTGCCAAAAATTCTTCATTTTCACAAATATCTGTCAAAACAATCTAAAATAAACAGAATATTAATTTAGTAGGAACAGTAATAATTTAGAAGAAATAAATAAAAATTAACCTAAAAGTTTTATAAAAAAATACTTGAAGATAAATATCAATTTGTTTTTTTAAGATGCTGATGATTCATTTTTAACTGTGCATTATTTTACTCCTAATTGATATAGGGAAGCAATTAAATATCATAAACTGCTTTAATAAAAAATCAAACTTGAAAGAAAAAAAATTCTTTTAATTTTGAAAATATGAAACTCTGTTAAAATAAAAATTAATCTTCATTTTTAATATATATATGAATAACCAAATAAATAATTTTGAAAATAGCCCAGAAGGTGTGTTTGCAGGGACAAATCACACAGGACAACTCCATCGACCAAGAAATTAAAAATGCAAGTATCATGTACATGTTACAATATTATTCACCAAGGAAAGTTAAGAAATCCGTGTATTGGCGATTAATCACTTTAAATTTATGGTCATGGTTCTTTTTCGTAACCTTAAGCTTTCAAATGTGTTAGTATAAAAAAAGTGTGAGAAATAATAACAAATTTTAATAGTATAAAAACATTTATCAACCTTGAAGCAGTTTTTGAATTCTATGCTAATGTGTTAGATGTAGAGGGAATCACTACAAATAGATTTTATTCTGTACTTAAGTCAAGGCTATTGAATATTAAGATTAATCATCATATTTATGATTTTTATTTATTGAGATAAGAATTAAATGAGATAATTTAGTTTTTAAATGTTAAAAAATATGTTGTGAATGTTTTTGTATGAAAAGGTAGTTTAAAAAAATATATATTTATAATATTTACCAAAAAAATATTAAAAAAAAAGAAAAAAGAATATACAGTTGATTTTTTATAACTTGAAGAATTATAATCTGAACAGAGCCAACCGAGTCATTTTGATCATATTTTTGTGTAATCATAACATTGTAACTTTATTTCACTTATTGATTTTAATCACTTAATTTTATTTTTGTTATCTCTGGTCCTATCCAAAATAACAAATAAACTCTAACAAAGAAAATGTCAGTTTAGAGTTCACCAGAACCAATTTTCCACCAATTTCCAAAAAAATTAGTAATACAAGGTTGACAGCTTGTCTTAAATTTTTAAAAAAAATATTTTACAGTATTTTTTATACAGCTAGAAAAAAAAGTTAATGCAACTAAAAGAAGAAATACATTTAAAAATCAGCAAAAATTGAAAAATGTAATTTTTAGTTGACTTTCTTGTACAGGTTGCTTATTACGACTGTGGGCTAGGAGAGTCAGGTAAAGACTCTACAATTTCGTGACCAAAAGTATGATTGAGGCAATGCGGTCCTCAATGAGCACAGACTGCTTTTACTATGCAGACAATCTGATGCCTATCAATCTGAGTTGAGTGAGCTTTAAGCTGCCACTTTTGATCAAACTCCATTTCTTTACGGTAACAGTTCAGTGTCTTAACCATTGAGTCATCACAGGCATTTACTGTCCATATACCAGAATACATAATAAACAGGGTCACATAATAAAGTTCATGAAAAACAAAAACTATGTAAATCTGTAGAATTGCTAGTGATAAAGAACATCATAAAGCAAGTTTAACGGACTGATGAAACTTGAAGGTGTTTTTTATTCTATTATCTGTCAGATCTCGATAGTTTTTTTTTTCTTCCCCTCATTTAAATTCTTATTTCTGGACACCCTGTGTACTTTTTATGGCAAGGATGCAAAACATTTACATTATTTAATTATTATTAAAAAATTTATATTTATTATATATTATTCTTTTTTCCCTAGCTTTGTTATTTCGTTGTTTCTGACTTGCTGATTATTCTAATTCCTTTATCCTACCTTATGTTGCTTTTTTTTTCTACATTTATTTTCCTACTGCCCATTTTCTTTTATTGTATTTTTAACTGTCTGATAAAAGAAGACTTCTTCTTTGGGAAATATGTAGCTTAATTTTTCTGCACATGGTGTTTAAAGAAATTTTAGGCCTAAAGGAGATTTACCTAATCTAATATAAAATTCACATCTTTACACCACTTTCTCTAGATTTGAATCCCATTGAAAATATGTGGGATGCTGGTTGAGATTGCCCCAACATGGAAGGACACTCTCACTATTATAGCAGAGATGCCAACCTGCTCCGGACAGCAAATATATATTTTAAAGTGGTAGTTCATCAATTGGGATTCTTGGTTTAATAAATTCAATTTAGTAGATTTTATCCACCACTATTTCTAAAAAATTAGTAGGCTTATATAATTCACCACTTTATAGTACTTATGTCATGCTCCGCCTTATAATAGATATTGTCAATTGGNCCTTTATCTTACCTTATATTGCTTTTTTTTTCTACATTTATTTTCCAACTACCCATTTTCTTTTATTGTATTTTTAACTGTCTGATAAAAGAAGACTTCTTCTTTGGGAAATATGTAGCTTAATTTTTCTGCACATGGTGTTTAAAGAAATTTTAGGCCTAAAGGAGGTTTTCCTAATCTAATATAAAATTCACATCTTTACACCACTTTCTCTAGATTTGAATTCCATTGAAAATATGTGGGATGCTGGTTGAGATTGCCCAATATGGAAGGACACTCTTACTATTATAGTGACATAGGAATGGGACAAATTGCACCAACAGCTACCATGGTGGTAATACCCCTTATTGGCATATTACTTAATTATGAGCACAAATAGTATTTGCTTCTTATTTTCACGTTTTTAGGACAAAACGACTAGTTTGTTCCTTGAATGCATTTCAAACCTTTTGGGTATCAGAGCACAACAAATTATCATTTTTTTAATGTCCTAAAAACACTCCGACATTCTTCTATTTCACTTGGCATTTAACCGCCCTTAATTTTTCATGTGCTATGCAGCCATTTGTGGCCCATCCTTAGCAACTGTCCAGCCGTGTTTGGTTGGTGTGTATCTCAATGATTGAGGGCATGGGGATTTGTGAAAAATAGTCATTTCTTATTTTCAACCAGATCTTTTTCAGTTTTCTTATTTCTAGTCAGATAAAAAGGGATTAGGAATAACAATTCGGTGATAGAAATGATGACCATTATTGAAACATTGTAACAATGATAACTATTGAAAATTGCAATGGTTGGAGAGTTCAATAAATTAATGAAAAGGATTAGTTTCCTAAAATTAATAATGAAACAATTTGGTAAAATAATTTGGAGTACAAGAACAAATGTAAATAAATTATACCATTGACAAAAGTGTTTATCAACCCTAAAGGAAATTCGCAGATAATTATGGAGGTTTAGTTTAGTTATGGAGGTTTAGTTAGAAGATTCTGTTCTTCAAAATTAATAATTGAACAATTTTGTAAAATAATTAGGCATATACCATTGCAAGAGCAAATGTAAATAATTTATATACCTTGGAATATACATGTTTATCAACAGTAAATGTCAGTCCTAAAGGAGATTCACTTAATCCAATGTCAATAACACCCTCTGCAGTTGGAAGGCCCTGTGTAAAAGAAAGAATTTCTAAGTTGTATTTTTAATTTTACTGTGTAATTAAAACAATAATGTAATACTTTGAAGATGAGTTAAAATAATAAAATCAGATATATTTTAAAATTAAACAATTAAAGGAATATTTTAGTTTCAAGACTTTTATAATTATATTCTGAGTAATTTTTAGCGAAAATTAAACTTCAAAATATGGCATACATTTGTATTGAAAAAACTCAGAAAAAACTACAACACGGATTTAAAAGCATTGTGGCAAAATATAAATAAATAAAAAACATCCTATATCTACCACCCCTCTCTCCTTGTTTCGGTTATGTTTCCAGATATTCAAAAGAATGCAAAATTTAAAACTTTGTTAATAATAAATAGCTCAAATAATGTGCATTTTGCTCCATTATAACAAAATTTGTCATCTAGCATACAATCGAAAGCCTTAGCAATTATTGAAACTTTTTAATGTTGCATATGGACCAGCAATCAGCATTTAATGAAATGCTTGGGATGAAAATTCCCTGATATCTCAATGTATTATAACAGGGATGAGAGTAGTCAGAAAGTAAAAAAGAGGAAATCCAAGAATATATACATATATATAATCAAAAATTTGACAAAAAAGTGCGATTTTTAAACTTATAAACCATGTGATTATAAATCCCGATATGAGGCTTATGATATGAGGCCGATATGAGGCTTCCCGATATGCAAAACTACAAATCATGATGCGTAATTTTTAGATCAAGATGCATAATTTTAAAATCGCGCGATATTACAACCGCAAAAACGAATCACGACATTGGATTTGCATAGTCTGGACTTGGGATTTCTAAATGGCTTGTTTGAATTGTTTTTTGTTTACACAATAAATAAAAATTTACAAGATTAATTGAATGAGCAAATAAATATTTTCACCGCAAATGCACCTCTATTTTTTCCCGCTTTTTTTTTTGTTTGCTTTCACTCCAGAATACAAGAAGCAGCGACGTCTAAATTACGAAAATACGAGCTATTCCGCCGACGGATAAAAGATACAGAAAATTTTACTTTCTGTGCGTGAAATCGGAGAAAATAGTTAATATAAGTAAACATGCGGAAGGGCTGAATTTTCTATTTTTCTTTGAAAATCGTAAATAAATATAATTATTTGACTTCAACGACTGAATTTTTTTTTAGAAAATGGGATATTTATAAATACATTTTAAAAAAAAACGAAACTTTTAGAGAATCTGAGTTTTTGATAAAAAGGCTGAAATTCGAGAGACAAAAGCAAAAAAAATCTCATCCCTGTATAAAGGTCAACCGGTTTTATCCCAAGGAAATGATTTTTAGAGAAACTTCAGAGGGAGGAATGAGGACTTCAATAATTTCGCTCCGCGGAAAATTAAATTCCTCATAAAATATTTTAACTTGTGCAAAAAAAAATTTCAGCGGAAATTAGCGGGAAAAATCTGAGAAAAAGCGGAAATCCGCGAATCCGCGGAAGAATCTCATCCCTGATTATAAGTAAGTTTCTTAAACTCCTAAAACTTTGCGAAAATCAGGGGGGTTGACTTATACACAGGTAATAAAGTCGGACATTCACTGGTCCTGAAATATTGATGCATTATAAGCAATGACATAGATATGAATAACTCTGTTTCAGTTTATTCTGCTCCAAATCTATTTTTAATATCTATTTATTATACAATTAATTTTGCATTTTCTCTGATTATCTTTACATATGAAGATTTTTTTAAACATCAACTGTGTCAGATTCAATAACATTAGCAATGGATTCTCCTTCATCCTCAGTTGCATAGTCCGAAAAAAAAAAATAGCCTTCACTCCTATTCATAAAATTTGAAATTCCACACTTTTTAAAATATTTTATAATAACTTTTGAATTCACATTTTGACACATGTCTAATCTCATTTGACATATAGGAGTGCAGCGTGGATATTTATTAAGAAAACAATGTAAAGTATTTTTAACGAGAAAATTTTGTAGACTTAATAACTTTTTTAGGTTCAGAAGTCTGTCCAGACATTTTGTAAAATGTCCTGTTTTTGTAAAATTGTGAAAAAACTATTCATATTTTTTGAATATAAAACAAACATTACGCCACATTCTTTCAACCAGGGTCTTGCTTTTGTGAATTTGTGCAAATAGGGTCCTGTTATTTGGTATTTAGCCTATACTGCTCAACATAGAGTATTCATTTCGGACGAATAATAGAAACAAAATCATTCACATTTTTAATAATTTCAATTGACAAATTTTAAATAATACAACTTAGTAATGTATCACTTTTAATGTGTTACGCATTAGGTACCTAAACTTAAACAATTCTTAAATTTATATTATTTTATTTAAAAAATTGCAAGAAATAAATTTATATTTACATAATACTCTATTAATTAATTTTATGAATAAATATAAATTGATCAATTATTTATTTACCCCCCAAAAAAATTATGATTTAATATAAATAAGAATATGCACACTGTTTGTAAAAGTAGAAATATTTTCTTAGAATACTACACTTGGAATTTAAACTTAGGGAAACTTGGAAAACTCAGTTTACCGTCTTCCTCCTCCGGGAAAGGTTTATTGGATTAACAAAACAATAATGAAGATAAACAAATTTGTGAAGAATCCGATTGAAAGATTAATTATTTTGTGAAGGGTCCGTTTTTATAATTGTGAAGGGTCTGTTAACGGACCCAGATTTCTTCTAAACAGACCAGGTTAATTATAATTTTAGAAATATTTAGATTTTCAGTGGTCGAGTTATACATCCGTCAAACTAGAAATTTGCTATCTCGTAATCAATAAATTATTATCTATTGGTTATTATTTGGGCCATATTGATGTAAAAATAGGGGTTTGACTTATACAACAGGATACATGTTAGAAATAGGATGCCTAATTTTAAACTTTGCAGACAGATATATATGAAACATAGATGCATATATATGCATGATGGTGTGTGTTTGGTATGACACAATTTTCTAAACCACAAAACATATTTTGCGCAGTAATATTTCTCTGTAGTATTACCTGGTTTCTAAGAAGATTCACAAGTTTTGGTAATGTAAGCCAGTCTTCTACTTCTGGTGAATAATGAACTATTTTCTGCCATGACATCAGTAATTCAGGATTATTTCTGAAATAGATGGTGGAGACTTATTATAAAAAAAAATGACTAATAAACAAATCATATCATTTTTATTAAAAATATAAAGATAAATTGCAGACCCAATTTTCGGGCTTACGACTACTAATGATCAACTATATAGCTTTGTAATTTTGAACCCAGTCTGGAGGACAAGGGAACTCCTGGATCAAGTATTGGGAGAAATTTGTGCCTTCGTGGAGGACTTATTGAAGGAACTAACCAGCATTTGCGTTATGTGGAGAGGAAGTCCATGAGAACCTCCTATGGTTAGCCTGATGGCAAGGGAACTCTAACACATGAACCGTCTTTAACCACTTAGGATATTTCAAGTCAGCACTGTGTTAGGTGTAGGCCGGATGGGGAATTCGTATTGACTGGGATTCGAACCTAGTTCGCGTCATTGGAAGGCAAACGCTCTATCCCCTGAGCCATTGCGGCTCCATTCACATGCTTTGCGAAAGGCAGTAAACTAGATCAGTAGGTAACTTTTTATTACTCTTTTTTCTTATATAAATTTATTCAGTTCAGAGAGGCCAAGTTAAAACGTTTTGGAGGCCATTTTTGGCATGCAGGTCATAGGTTAGGAATCCCTGGTATAACTCGTAATCACCTCAGCATAATTACTACAGGTCTTTTCTTTAAAATTTTCAAATACATAAAAATTTGGTGCCTTGACAATTATAGTTAGAGTAAACAAATACCAATATGGAAAAATTGGTATTTGTGAGTTAAGAGACCATGTGTGGGCAACTAATTTTCCAAGTTATTATGTATTGAGTCTACATGAACATTGATCCATATAAAATATGAGTATTGTCAATAAATATTGATCTTTAGCATTAGGTCTTTCAAATTTGTACCTTTTTTATGTTGTCAATATTTTTACTACCCCAAAAAAATATATTAAAATTTATAACAATATTGTATTCAATAATTATTGTTCCATGTAATATTCATAGTACAGTGGGTGATCGGTTAACGAACAGATTGGTTAACGAACACTTTCACGAAAGATTTTTGTGTTCGGATAACGAACACTTTCAAGAAAGATTTTTTGTGTTCGGACAACGAACACATATTCAGATAATGAACAAAACAAATTCTAACAAACACTTCTCGGCCTGAAAAAAAATTAATATTAAACATTTGTTATCATTTTGCATACAAAATAAGATCACTGAAAGGAGAAATGTTTAAAGCATGCTTAGTATATTGATAATTACTAAATGAAACTTGAATTGTGGAGAATGAAGGAGTACAATGAAGGTGTAACAAAAATCACATCTGCGAAGCAAAAAAGTGCCATCCATGATAAAATGGAAAGGTTGCTTTTAGTTTGGATAAATAAACGGGAAATGAAACGAGATGTAACTAGTATGCTTATCATTCAAGAGAAGGCTAGAAATATTTTTGAGAAATTGAAAGAGCAAACTCCAGGTTCGTCATCCGAGGAGTTAGAATTCAAGGCTACCACTGGCTGGTTTACTAAGTTTAAAAGAAGGTCTGGAATTAAACATGTATTAATGCATGATGAGATGATGAGTCTGCTAGTGCAGATAAAGAAGCAGCTGAGAAGTACTGTCTAAAATTTCAAGAATTCATTGAAACAGAAAGGTATCGTCCACAACAAATATTTAATTGTGATGAAACTGGTTTGTTTTGGAAGCACATGCCGAATTGTACCTACAACACGAAAGATGAGAAAAGTGTTCCTGGGCATAAACCTATGAAAGACCGATTAACGTTACTTTTGGGAGCGAACGCTAGTGGTGATATGAAGCCTAAACCACTTCTCCTTTACCACTCTGAGAATCCCAGAGCATTCAAAAAAAATTTCCATAATTAAGAGCAAACTGCCAGTAATGTGGAGATTGAATCAGAGGGCATGGGTCATGCAGTATCTTTTCAAAGAATGGCTAGTTTGTGCCTCGAGCATCAAGGACTACCTTGATACCAATGACTTGCCGTTGAAAGCACTGCTGCTAGGCAATGCACCAGGACACCCAAAGGATCTTGAAGATAATTTGTTGACAGACTTTCCTTGACTGACAGTTCAGTTTTTACCTCAGAATACGACTTCGCTGATTCAGCCGATGGATCAGGAGGTTATTGCGGCTTTCAAGAAATTGCACACTCGCGCGCTGTTCCGTCGGTGTTTTGAGGCAAGCCACTTCTCCTCAACAATGACTTTAAAAAAGTTTCGGAAAGAAAAATTTGACATTCTTGAAGCTATTCGTATCATTCAAAAGGCGTGGTCAGAAGTCATACAGCGACAGTTGATTTCTGCTTGGCGGAAGCTGTGTCCCTCCTTCGTTCAAAGAGACGGAGGTGATCAGGGAGACACCTCTGAAATTTTGACAACTGCTAGAGATCTGGAATTGGAGGTGAACGAGGATGACACAGAAGAACTCATAATGGGACATGAAGATGAACTGACGACAGAAGAACTCCAAGAAATTTTGAATGAAGAACACCAAGAAACACAGCGAAATGTGTCTCCTTCTGAACAAGAGGAAGACGAAAGAGGACCAATGCCGACATCTGCCATTAAAGATCTTTTGAAAAGTGGGAGGATGTCAGAGCAATGGTCTTAGAATGGCACGCAAACCAAGCTGATGTCAGTAGGGACGACAATGCTATTAATTACTTCCGGAAAATCCTGAAGAAGAGAGAAAAGCAATCGACGTTGGACATGTTCTTCAACGCCCCATAAGCATGAAATGAAAAGAACTGATTAATATGCAAGACTATATGTATGTATTATTTTTTAAAAAACTTACTAAGAAATTATACATTTTTTAAATTTTAATTTCTTGGGTCTCCAGAACGAATTAATCGATTTTACATAGAAGTCTATGGTGAATCGATGATCGGTTAACAAACAATTCGGATAGCGAACATAATCTTGGAACGGATTATGTTCGTTAACCGATCACCCACTGTATTATATTTTTAATACACAATTTTAATAAAGATCACAGCGTTATCACAATTGATATTTTTTTGTCATTAATGATTGCAAAATTGTCACATTTGAAACCATGTAAACCCCATTTCGGCATTCTTCAATCATGTTGACAAACTTAGCATCATGGCTTCTAGAATAAATAAGGGTGAAATATAGCCTAATTTTAAAATTGCAATTGTATTAAACACAGTTTTAGGACACTCTCTTTCAAATCTTAATTCCTACTGCCTTAAAGTCAGAAAAAAATTATTTTAACTGTATTAGTAGCATCTATTTCATTTAATTTAAAGTTAATAAATTAAAAAAATTATCAATTGAAAAAATTAAAATAAAGGACAATATTGAACTTATACTTACTTGCTGCGACGATTCACTTTGATAAACGAAGAGATTAGATTGGGAGTAACTGAGCTAGAACCTTCGTTATTCCTTAGAAAGGGTAAAACCTAAAACAAGTAAATAGTATTTGAAAATATTGCCGTTACGTACTCATAGAAATATTTCTATACTAATATTTGAAAGTCTTTTGAGATAAACTAGTTCATTCAAAAAATTACAAGAGAATTCAGTTTTCGTTATAAAAATATATTTTTGAAAAAGAAAGAAAAAATTGAAATTCCATTGAGTTGAATAAAAATAAAAAAGAGTAAGGCTGTCGAAGTTCTCGTTAATTATTTCCTTTTAAAATCATTACCTTTCTTGCAATTTGTTGTCGAAAGAAAGAAGCCATTGAAATATCTTTCTAAAAAATCAGAATTATGAGCAATTATTTTAAATTTAATATAACGCGCGTAGAAGTACAATCATTGTTCATTGCTTCATTCAAAATATATAAAGTTTAACATGTACCAGAAATAACCCAACTGCCTATTTTTGCTCAGCTTAAGACACATAAGTTGATTGAAAGAATTAATTTAATCGATGCTAGCTACAAGCAAATACTGATAACTCAAATATATCTCTAAAAATAATTAACAGCCTTAAGTTCAAAAATTTTTTCTCCTATTTTTGTAAATTTTTTTTCTCTTTATTTAAATACAAACGCAGCGGCAAATTTTAACAATTAAAGTTGTTATTTTGTATTACAGAAAATTTCCTAAAATAGCGAAAAATCGTGAAAAAATACCGAAATTCACCCGCTATTTATTTTCTCCTTTTTTCTTTCTCCCTTTCTTTGTCCTTTTTTAAGCTTGGTTTTTATTTTAAAGTGAGAATTTATACAATTAATATTGTTAAGTAATTAAAAATTATTTTGGGAAGAAATAAAATTTAAGTTTTATTAAAAGTACTTAGTCTTAAAATTAAAGAAAAACTTACAAAATAAATAAATAAATAAAACTTCCAAAACAATGGGCAAATTTTTTAAATCAGTTCAAATATATTTTATTTTTATTAGTATGAATTATTTCTTTATTTCAAAAAAATTCTCTTATTTTCTTTTAAATTTGTTACTGTTTCAAATAAATTGCATTCTTTTAAAAATTTCATTTCATTATTTTTGTTGCAATTTATAATTTAGTAAATAATGAGAACAATAAATTTGTTGCAACTTAGATATGTTGTTTTATTTATATCTTAATAAATTTCTTTACTTCCCAAGAAATCAAATTCGACTAAAAAAATTCGATTTCTCAAGCACTATTTGACAGATTTCCCTCAAATTTTGTATTTTGTCATGTAAAATTACAGTCTTCAAAATGGTGTCGAACATCGTTTTCCTTAAAATTCAAAATGTTTTTGACTCGCATTAAATAATAAAAAAAAATATTAAATCTATACTAAAAGTTATTTTTTACACAGAATTATCTTTGGCTAAACAAATTTTACAATTGTGTGGAAAATTTTTTAATCTTTAAAACCTCAATCTGGGAAATATGGTCCCAACAGTCTGACGAAAAGTCTAAAGTTTGGACTTCTTAATATTATTTTTACTTTTAGAATATTTTTCCATGTCTCGTGAACTTTACAAGCAAATTGAAATTTTTTTTTTTTGCATACAGTTACAAAATTTGTTTATCCAAATTCCATGAAAAAATAATCTATGTATATATTTCTCTTACCTGCACTATAAACTATAATGGCAACATTATAGTTAGTATTCATTTTTTTTTAGGTTGTCTTGAGAAATAATTAAAATAGTGTTAGAAAATAAGTTAACGTTTAACTTGTTTTAAAAATAAGTTAAACGTTAAGCATTTATTTAGATTCACTTTATTTGGTTAGAACATTTAAATGTTATGCGTTAAGTATTTATTTAGAATGATTTAATATTTTTATAGGAATAAAAACTTAATTACGAAAGTAATTATTTAGATTTAGTTTTGATCCTTTCTAAAATGACTGTAGAAATTTTAAACACAAACTCAAGTTTTGGTTCAAGTGGCGCGTGAGGAAGTAGTATAGAGCATAATGGAATTTTGGGAGGAGTTTTCCATGTCATCTCACAACTGAGATGGAAATAGTTTTATTAATTCTGCTGCCTATTACGCTGAAATGATCCGAACTCATACTTACTGTAGTTTGTGTGATTTAATGGTAGTCGAACATATTTTAAATTAATGCTATATTTCAATATATAGAGAACGTTGACAATGTTGTGAACATCTTTTCACAGGGGAAAAAAGTATGGTCAAAATTATCAGAATATGTTAAAATTTACCAAAAAGTTCAATACTTTTTAACGATGCGATTTGGTAATGTTTTTGGTTTTAACAATAAAATATGTTTTTTATGTGATAAAATTTTCTATATGTAGTAAAATTTTGTAATTTTATCAAGATACTTTAGAACATGACATAAAAAACATTTATTTGGTCAAATTAACTTTTTAGTTTTGAATTTTTTGCTAAATATGTGTAAAGAACCATAATTTTTAAAATCAGAAATTCCGGTCAATATATGAACGGAAAAACTACTAAATGAATACTTTAAATACCATATATTTTGATTTTTTTAAAGGCAGAATTATGTTTTTTTTTCTTACCAGAAATGTCGTTACTATACAATTCGGCAATTATACCAGAATTTTTTCCCCCTAGTTGAAAATAGTTAAAATTTAAATCTAAATACTTCCACGCTAGCAAAGCGGCGGGAAACAGCTAGACTGTGAAAATATTAAGGTATGAGGGGGCAAAAGGGGGCTATTTAAATACAATTGTGCTGTGCATTCGGATTTGTTTCCATTAAAGTTTATATGTTGTATAAAATAATTTTGTAAGGTGACCGAGCTGATCGCCAAAGCTAGCAAGTTTTTAATAATTATTTATTATTATTTTAATTATTAATAGTCGTAAAAAATTGAATTGTAATGTATTCAAGCATTTGCATCAGTATAAAGAATGTAATTTCATACGTCAAATTATAAAATTTGAAAGAAATGGCTTGAACAGTTCCTGAAGATACCAATTTTTAAAAATGCAGGCACTTAAAATTCGATTTCTTAGGAATTATTTAAGAGATTTCGTTCACATTTTGTATTATGTCATAAAAAAGTATGTTCTTTAAAATGATGTAAGAATTTTTACTCTCGTAAATTCAAAATTTTCAATTATATATCGGCTATCATTAAATAAAATTATAAAACGTGATAAATAATTATTTATTAAAAAAATCCTTTTTTTGTGTAAAATAATCTTTGGATAAGCGATTTTTATAATTGCGTGCATATTTTTTTTAATTGACTTAAAAATTTCTCAAGATATGGCGAAATAAGCAAAAATAAAATAAACATAAAGGACTTTAAAGCTTTGACTGTTCTTCTGACCAAACTATTAGGACCATATTTCTTAGATTGCTGCTATTCCTTATATTTTGGTGGTCGGAAATGATAATACTCCAAAAAGAGATGCGTTTATTCAGCGGAAGTACGTTTCTATGTCTGATTTCGTAACTAGAACTATCGTCTGATCGAGCAATTACCATATTTGATGTCACCTCCTTGAACCATTAAGATCGATTTCTATTGCGGAAAATTCTCATCAATAGAGCAATGGTTACTCATTATCTATTGACAATAGTCAATTATTGCCATGTACCAACACAATTAAAATATCTTAACTTCCTTTATTATAATTACCTGCCCTGCCCGATGACTTCCAGATGTTGGACAAGGATTTTCTTAAAAATGCACTTTAAGTCAGGTATTTTTTATTCTTTTGCTTGAGTAGTAACTTTAATTTAAAAAATTATAAAATCCTTTAAAATAATCGCTAAACTGCAATTTTTATACGTTTTTGAACATTTTAGCGAATCGCTGAAAGGCAACCTTCTGCGGTGTTTATGGAATATCTTTCCTCTCGGTCAAATTTATTGCTTGAAAAGAAATTGATGGTTGATAAGTTTTTATGAAACAATGGATTTTTATGCGTTTAATTATAGGCTGGAATATTTTTTCGAAAAAAAAATAGTTCAGGTTAGTTATAATATATTTAATTTTCACCGTTATTTATTTAAAAAAATATGCCTAGGGATCGAAAGAAGTTGAACAAAAATCTCTGGACTTATATGAAACAATAAATGCTTTTCAAGGAAAATGTAATACTATATGTTAAAATGCTAAATGTTAAAATGCTAAATGTTGAAATGCTTAAAGTTACGAAGCTAAATGTTAAAAATAAAATAATAATACTGTAAAAAAAACTTTTTAAATTTCCTACTAAAAAAATGTTCTGAAGTGATAAAATGAAAATAGTGTTAAATGGGTAATTTATTAAAGAATTTAAAGTTCAATAAAGTTCAATAAACTATTATCAGTTCAATAAAGAAAAAAAAAATTCAACACTTAAAAAGAAAAAAAGGAACGAAATCGCACTTTCAAAATCAGTTGCATAATAGCACAAAACAAAGAAAACAAAGATGTTAGAGAAACAGAGGCTTTACTTTGATAACCGAAGAATAGCTTTGAAAGTTTTCAGAACATATAAATGAAAATAGATAGCAAAAACAATAAATACAAACCATACTCTATGATCCGTATGTTTTAATTATCTGATGTAGGTTCGTTCCCAATGACTTCAGATAATCGAGATTCCATTGTATAGTAAAAATATTGATTTCGATTTTATTTCATGCAATAATTACCTTTCTTTTAATTAAAATTACTTCTGTGTAAAGCTATATATACTTAATTTTCAGTAAAATTGTCTTTATTCTAATAAATACTTTACTGATCAATATATTATATTTTTCTTCTTCAAAATTATACTTTTTAAGAAGGATGAAGAAAAAAACCATATCGCATATTTGTATGTTTGATAGAAAAATAGAATTCAATTTAACTATTGTTCGATAGCAACTAATATAAATGTACTTCTTTTAATGCTTTAACACAACGGTGCCCAATTTTTGCTTTAGGTATGGAATCCTAAATGATACCCCGATACTTAATAAACTNAAAAAAATATGCCTAGAAAATGCCTAAAAGAAGTTGAACACAAATCTCTGGACTTATATGAAACAATAAATGCTTTTCAAGGAAAATACAATGTTAAATGTTAAAACGCTAAATGTTAAAAGGCTGAATGTTAAAAGGCTTAATGTTAAAATGCTAAATATTAAAAATAAAATAATAATACTGTAAAATAATCTTTTTAAATTTCCAACTAAAAAAATGTTCTGAAGTTATAAAATGAAAATAGTGTTAAATGGGTATTTTATTAAAGAATTTAAAAAAGAATTCAATAAAGAAAAAAAATATTTCAACACTTAAAAAGAACAAAAGGAACGAAATTGCACTTTCAAAATCAGTTGCATAATAGCACAAACCAAAGAAAACAAAGATGTTAGAGAAACATAGGCTTTACTTTGATAACCGAAGAATAGCTTTGAAAGTTTTCAGAACATATTAATGAAAATAGATA